CATCGCCGTGGTCCCTAGGTTGGAAGATTACCGAACGGCAATCTTTTGATCCTTCCGTTTTTGATAACAAAGATGAAAAGTCTTGGAACGTGTCAGTATGTCTGCTTAATTGAAATCTGTTTAGGCTCTGCCTTATGTCGCCTTGCTCATTGTTCTACTCTTTTTTATCTATGCTGTTATTGGTATGCAGGTATGTGATTTTTTTCTGGAAAATTCTCGATTCATTATATTTCATTAATGTAATCATGTTTGATTCTCACAAAAAGAGCGTAAGTAAGAGACCTAAAACGAAGTTTCAAACATCACGATCAATTCGGTCGATTAAATTTCAGTAATATTATTAGGACCAATCCAATAGTTTCCCTTTTCCATTTTTTCTGAAACTGTACCAGAGTGAAGTACAAAAATCTATCCTGATCGTGCTGTCGCTTTTCTGTTGAGCAAGTTTACCTTTCTGCTGGGTGAATAAAAGGCTGTTCTAAGAGTACTTAACTACATACAAAAAAATGACGGCAAAGTTTGTAGAAAAAAATCAACTTTGCGAGCCTGATATATTCATGTAAAATCAAATTTTCGATGAGCCGAGTTTCCCTAGTTAAAATAGTGTCTTCGACGAACGCCATGGTTGCGTTTGAGTAACCAATTTTCCTCCACTTCGGCACGCTGTGTTATTTTAGGGTAGGCGATTTGCTGTTTCATAGTCTCTCAACTGATTTTTCTTATTAAGCTATTTTGATAAACGGTTATGTATATTTGATAGTGCAGAGGTGGTGTATGTAGTGGCAAAGTCACGCACTAAATCAAACGCACGATCAGGGGTTCGAATCTCGGATCGATTTCCACCCAAGCCAAGCAAGCCTTCCATCCCTCTGGGGTCGTTTAATTGGTACCAAACTCGTCTGGGAGTATAAGAGCACTGACTTGTACATGGGCTGGTCACAGCAAGCCAATGTATAGGCCTCATGCGCGTTCAACACACCATAAGGATTCTGAATAGATGTCGAATGCGTGGGCGCATCCCTCAGACGGGAATGATTTACGCAGCAACACATTACCCTTTATCCTTTGAGCTATTCTGATAACTATTATGTATTATGTATATTATATTATGTCGAATTTTGAGAAATTAGCGAATAATTCAGGGCAAAGGGCTGGTGGGTAGTGTCCTGGAATCATAAAAACAATAAAAATGAATAACAAATCAATTTGAGATGAATGGAGGGTTTTCTTACTCGACATGCTGTAAAGTTGACCGACATTTAGGTGTTTGGAAAAGTTGCATTGGACGATGCTACGCAAATTCATCGAAATAACAACTTCCACTCATTCTTTGCTGCTGTTTTGGTTTTATTCAGGTAGGATACATTTCTATTTACACTTGGTCAATCACATTATCCGAGAGGTGAATCTTTGATGCTCAACGCTTCGTTTATTAATGTCTAATGCGCTAGTTGCTTGGATTTCTAGAGATACTTCTCTCAATCATCTGTAGTTGTAAGTTTCGCAGTCTAATGTGGATAATGGGTCACCAGCTTGATCAGGAGCGAAAGCTGATATGCCATTACTTAAGAGCCATGAAGAAGGCTAGGGTAAGCGAGGACCTGGCAGCGTAAGGGATGAACAGCAGGTAACCAGTAAGCACAAATATGGGTTCAAGTCCCGTCCTAGGTCGAGATTTTGTCCATGATGTGCAAATCTTGTTTGCCATTCCAATCTAATAAGTGCTAGGGTTTTTGGCTGGAAGCTTCACCCGTACCTCCCGTATCTAAGGGCATCTGACTGAGGAACGGAAGGGAAGGAGGGAATTGAGGTAAGAAAGGAGATCCTTGGTCTTTTGCAAAGATCCTGTTCACAAATAGTATTACTATAATAGTGACTTTTCGTTCTTTTTTCGAGCTTCAATGCTTTAGGGTTATTCAGTCGTTTCTACACTCTTACTATCTGAAGAGTGCTAGTTTGGGTGTTTTCCTTACTAATTATGCCCACGTCTGAGTACTAGGCCTGAAAAGAAAGGCAAAAATTGAAAGTCCTTGAAGTTATGTGCATAAGGGAGGCGGAAGTGATGTAGTGGCAAGTTTCAAACTATCATAGGCATGGTCTGTTGATCGAATCTCCTGTCGATATCAAACCTAGGTCAACCTATGCTTCTATGCCTCCGGAGTAAGTTAGTCGGTACCAGACTCTTCTGGAAGGGTAAAACCACTGCCTTTTTTACATCGGTTGTCCAGTGCAAATCATTGTATAGGCTACATACGCATCTGAAAAGCCATTGCGGTTCCTAATGGGAATGGGGAGGTGCCTTCCAAAAACGAACTGATTATCGCCGAAGACTTTATCTTTAATCCTTCTAATCGCCCCGCTAATACTCTCAGGCCAGCAGCGGAACGTTGATACCACTACGAGACTGACGGGGGCTAGGGGTTTTTGAAAATCCGGGTTTTGGGGTCGGTGAAAGTAGGCTTGACCTTCGGATTTTCATTCGACCTGAGTAAAATAATAGGAAACTAAACATCAGAATTGAGGTAAAATAGAAAGTTCGCAGTTTAATGTTAAGTGCTTACCTTCTGAGCATATCAGTAGAACGATTTGTGTCACAGTTGGACAAAGAAGAAATGAAGTAACTGATCGAATAAGGTGAACACCCCTTCAATGAATGACTACTGCTTGCAGATCAGCAACCGGTGAAGCGTGGCAAGAAGTAATGCTGTCCTGTTCGGATCGTGAAGAAGTGCGTTGCGATCCGCTTTCCGATGACTATAAACGAGATCGAGAAGCACGTTGTGGAGTGAATTTCGCCTATCCTTACTTCATCTCCTTCTTCATGCTTTGCTCATTTTTGGTGAGTCTACCTATGACGCTTCATCCTTTCCCTTATTCCTATTCACTATGCCATTTTCTTTGCTATCGGAGTAAAGTAAACGGTAGAGTCCTTGTAAACAACGCTCCAAGGGGTCTGTACCAGTAATTTGTCCTTCATGATTGGTCTCTCGAAAGTATTGTTTGTTACAGGTCATCAATCTGTTCGTGGCTGTCATCATGGACAACTTTGACTATCTGACTCGTGATTGGTCAATTCTTGGCCCACATCATCTCGAGGAGTTTGTCCGATTATGGTCCGAATACGATCCCGATGCTAAAGGTAAGGCTAGAAACCACCTTTCACCTTTTCTCGGCACCAGCAGCATCTATTACCGATCACACTCCAGAAGTCTCCCTTTAAAGGAAAATAAAAATGAGTTCCAAGGGTTGAATTAGTATTTCAAGTTTGACTTCTTACGGTAAAACCAAGCCAAATAGGAATTTTTGCCAAATGTTAGGCTCCCTCCCGACATTCTTCCCCATGAATTCATATAGGTCGGGAAGGGATATACAGAAGCTTTCAAACAT